GTAAGTTGCTAATAAGGTATTATTACGTGCTCCTAATTCCCACTGGGATAGTTTACTCATTTATATCGTACACTCTCATATACAAACGCTTACGTACATCCATACATTTGTATTATTTATACATTACGTACATATATTTAATTCTACATACGTTTTTTTTAAGAAAACAGGTTTACAAATTTGGACAACTTACGGCAACATAGTATAACATTCGACGTAAGATATGTGTATGAAAACTTCACCTTTCCATCCCTGTATTTACATATGTATGCATTTTATTGCGTCTGCGAATAAATTCAAAATTAATTGTATTTACTGCTGGTATCATCTCTTCTAAAGTTCATATGATGAGGTATACCAAAATTTAATCCACCTGTGGCAGCCGATACCGTTGACATAATGCTAACAATTAAGTAGAAAAGCATACCAAGATTTAGGATAAGCATCAAAGCCAGTGGTAAAGGCGTGGTTACGGTACCGACTGCAAATTGGTTGACATTAGCTGGCGTGGTATGAGCTAGAACACTGTGTGGGTTGTAATATCCAAATGCATCTATCGGCGGCTGATTTGGTTGAGTTAGTTGATTTTTGTAATGCAGTGATATACGTTCCCAGGGGTCTTCAGTTCGGCGGTTTTGCAGGATATTGAGACTGTTTGCTTCAATATCCTTCTGTTCTTCTCCTTGGTTGTGAGTTGGGTTAAGTGTCAACAAAGTATAACGCTCACTGTTATCTTTCCCTGTGGCCGCTTTTAGCGAATATGGCAAAACTGCAGCCTCTGCATGAGACACAATGTCGCCATCTACGTCATGCGCCAAAACAGTATGATGCAAAACGTACAACGGCAGTGTAAGCATAGTTAAATACCACATATCCGTAACTTCCACAGTTGCTTACAATAGTGTCATCTGTGTACACATTACAGATCTTTTATAGTACCCTTTACTTTCTTCTGAGTATTATTTGCTTAAGTGACTGCACAAATACTGTGCGTGTTCAATGGTTCAATGAGTTTGAATAGATGTTTTTTTATTACACACACCATTACACATTTATTATTGTCCTCAAAAA